CTCATGTTGAGCTTCTCACCCACCAGCACTTGACAGTGCTGGGATACAGCTCTTTACAGTTACAGTTTTTAAAAACTGATAGTTAACATACTTGAACATCATTCTGATAGCTTTTTTCAAAAATGCCTTCGGAATTACTCAGAAGTAATACAGCTTTGTGATTTGCATTTGTTGCCTGGGAACACCGTTTTTAAACAAGATATTTGAAACATCGAGTCTGCTTTCCTTGTGCCAGAGAGGTAGTGCAGGGAAATCACAACACTTCAGAAATTTTTCCCTTTATTTTTTAAAGCAAAAAATGTTTGTATTATCTTACAAAAGGATGGAATAGTGTTGTATTATTTGGCAATTCAGGCTAGGTATCATTTCTACTTAAAGTATACACATTGCTTAAAATCAAAAAGCACAAATCACAAAGCTGGATATTGGGACTTTACGTTCTGTTTGTCATGCATCTAAACCCAGATCCACTCTTGTCCCAAAAAAGGGAAAGGGTCAAGAAGGAATAGCAACTGTAGAACGAAATTCTCAAATCTATGGCTCTTTCCCATTTAAATGTTTCAGTACAAATTAGATATCTAAATGCCTTTGAGAGCTTGGGTTGAATTTAATTCCGTTTACTTTGGGGAACTGGTTGCCCAGAGAAGCTGTAGATGCCCCATCCCTGGCAGTGTTCAAGGCCAGGTTGGATGAGGCTTTGGGCAACCTGGTGTAGTGGAGGGTGTCCCTGCCCATGGCAGGGGGGTTGGAACTGGATGATCTTTGAGATCCCTTCCAACCCAAACCATTCTATGATTCTATGATTCTATTGTCTGATTCCTTCCTTCTGGTTTCTGAGGGGAGGCTGTGAGACACCTGTTGTAAAAACGCGATGCCCGGCTCACTGCCGTGCCATTGCAGGATTCCTGGGATCCTGCCTGTCAAGGCTCACTGGTTGTTTGAGCAGCTGAGGGGGATGGCGGGCTGCCCCCAGCAGTGGGGCGGCTTGTTTTAACCACCTTCTGTGGAAGGCAGCAATTCCTGAGGGACTGAATCAGGATAACATACTCACCACGCAAGGAAATGGATGGTACTTTTAGGATTAGTAACAAGTCGGGGCCTTTCTGTCCCCATTTCACACGCTTCATCTCTGCTCCCCAGAGGCCCAGAGAAAGCTGGAGGTGATGGGAATCCAGTGAGCTAGATTTTCCCTTCAGTTTCCAAGGGGCAGTTTTCTTCTTATCCCCGGCTGAAATTGTCCTCATGGCTTTTTCTTGAGCTGTGAGTTGATGTTTGGTTGGCATCAGTGCCCTGGAGATGCCTGTTTCATATAGCTGTGTCTGCACCCTGAGGTTATCCCTGCAACCCCACTGTGAACTGTGGACATTAATGCCTGTTGTAAAATGAGAGTGTGTATGTGCAGAAGTGCTACACATGCTATTTTAAAATACTTTCAAGTTAAAATTGGAAAACTTTGACTCGAAAGGCCAGCCAGTATCAGTTCATCTATTACTTACTTTGCTAAGGATGTGAGCTTGACTGAGTTCTTGATCCCACTGTCCATGTCACCAACAACGACGTTAAACAGCACTGGCTGTTCCGCGTGCAGAGAGCCCGATTCCGTGTGAGCAAAGAAAGGAAGAGTCGCTGTCTTCTGACTTGCAAGAAATCTGACCAGGATAAATTAGGTTTTTAGTGCATGTTCTTAGCTTGAACTCTGTAAACAGAAGAATGTGTCCACTGATTAATTAAAATTCTACTTGTTTTTGTAGACTTCCTTTGTTGTTGATGAAGTCAGTAGCATCATTAAAGAGGTAAGCGAACGTTTGCATTTGGTTATAACTGTTTATTTAAGCAATGTGCATGCTTTGAGTGGAAATGATACCTAGCCTGAGTTGTGATATGTATTACAAATCCAAAAGATAATTAAAATATTTTCCTATGCTCCTCTCTGGTCTAACAGTCTATCCCTATTAGAATTTCCAGGGGGATGTTGTGTATTAAACGCTATAGAGATAGATTTTATGTTTCAGTAATATGTAGGGGTTTTTTTATAGGCTATCTGCATATGAATGTTACTGTTTTTCTTTGAGATGCTTTTCCTCCAAGGTGAGTTCTTGTTTGTTTGAAATGATGGAACTATTCTTGTTGCTAAGAAGCATGAGTTTCCTGTCCAGAAAATTTCCGGACGGATTTGATGTGTGTCCAGGATTCCTCTTGTAGTGTAGACTAGTGCAATTTTTTTCTTGTTGCAAAACGTTTTAGTCAGACTCTGCAAATTAAATACACGTGCTTTAATACATGCTCCTGTCTCTTGTGAATCTGAAATAATTTTGTATTTCTTTTTTAAACAATTTCTGAGAGGAAAAACTGCAACTTAAATGTACTTTTGTTTGCATCTTAAAGGGGAAACTTTCCTGGTAAGTAAAATGGATTATTTGGCTGAAGGCTGCTGCTCTGTTAGTAACCAGAAACTACGTGGTTCTTTTGCTTTGTTGCTGAAAAATCTGAAGTTCATTTCTATAGAATATGTGTGAGTGAACGATTGTTGCGAGCGTTTTCTCAGGCTCTTCAGGACTGTCTGAATGCAAGGTGCTTTTCATTACTCTGGTCAGGATATTGGGATAGGAATTACAAGTAAAGAATCAAAATACCACAAGATGGAGAGGGTGTAATCTGTGATGATACAATAATAGCCCCTACGCTTAGCTCAAACTGTGAACTGCAAGTCTTTCAATAACTGAAAATACTTCCAACAATCACTATGAACAAGTAGGATTTGGGGTTTTCTGTGGGGATGGGGTCTCTTCTTTAGTGCTGCATACTGGAATGGGTTAACAGGTGCCTGGGTAGGTTGACAACAGCGCCGCTGTTCTGTGTGTTTGTCCCCACAGGCCATCGAAAGCGCCATAGGTGGCAACGCCTACCAGCACAGCAAGGTGAACCAGTGGACCACCAGTGTGGTGGAGCAGACGCTGAGCCAGCTCACAAAGCTGGGGAAGCCTTTCAAGTATATCGGTGAGCTCAGCTTCCTCTTCTCTGGTGCAGCTGGTACAGCTGAGTGCACTGATGAGCAGGGGGTGGGGGAGTATCTCGTCAAGAGCCATGTCTGTAAACCACTGGTGCTCCTCATAACCACGTGTGTGTGCCTGTGTGTGCTACGCCAAGCGAAAATGTAGCTAAATGTTAATTGACAGTAAGAAATTAATAAAAGCTTCTCTGCTGACAAACAGTGACCTGTGTGATCATGCAGAAGAACGGTGCTGGGCTACACACAGCAAGCTCCTGCTTCTGGGACAACTCCAGTGATGGTAAGGGACACAGCTGTTGGATCTCTCAGCTTGCAGTTGCTAATCCCCTCAAGACTAGGCAGCATACTTTTCTTTTTTTCCAGGTACTGCAGTTTTGGGGTAATAGCATGCGGTTTGGTATTTTTTCTGGTTGGCTGTGGCGCTAACTGATAGATATGAAATGCTTAGCTGTTGTGAAAGCTTCATTCTTAAATTTCTCAGTGTATTTTACATGTCATTTTACATATGCATGTTTGTAATCCAGAGGACGCCACGAAGATGATCCGAGGGCTGGAGCACCTCTGCTCTGGAGACAGGCTGAGAGAGTTGGGGCTGTTCAGCCTGGAGAAGAGAAGGCTCCAGGGTGATCTTATTGCAGCCTTCCAGTACCTAAAGGGGCTACAGGAAAGCTGGAGAGGGGCTTTTTACAAGGGCATGTAGTGACAGGACAAGGGGCAATGGATTTAAACTGAAAGAGGGCAGATTTAGGTTGGATAGAAGGAAGAAATTTTTCACTCAGAGGGTGGTGAGGCACTGGCACAGGTTGCCCAGAGAAGTTGTGGCTGCCCCATCCCTGGAAGTGTTCAAGGCCAGGTTGGATGAGGCTTTGGGCAACCTGGTGTAGTGGAGGGTGTCCCTGCCCATGGCAGGGGGGTTGGAACCGGATGATCTTTGAGGTCCCTTCCAACCCAAACCATTCTGTGACTCTGTGATTCTATGATATAAGGGCATGCATTTAATCACTGCAACTTTCTTCTTTCTCTGAAACCCTTTTTTGTATTTGTAGGAACCTGCACGGTGAGGTGGGAGAATAAGACCATGTACTGTATCGTCAGTGCCTTCGGACTCGCAATATGATTGCCTTGGAATCATTCATCCTTCTCTTTTTCTACTCCAGCACTTGATTCCGTCTCTACTCAAACTGTGAATACACTGAACAACTTATTTTTATTGTACTTTTTTAGTAACTTTTTTTAAATGTAGAAATGTGAAAACATGCTGTTACATGGTTTATGTTTGTACTTGGTATCGTACAAGTGTTGCCGAACTGTCTTAACACTTCAAGAACTTCTCTTCAAGGTGCTAATGCCAAAATCTGCTGCAGTGGAGACACTTTCTCTAGATTTCTTTTTTTAAGACACCAACTTTCACACTTTGTACTTTTTGGTTAGCATTAAATTATTGAAATTCATAACCATTGGTGTGAGTTGTTTAAGCTTAACTCTTTTGTTATTTAAAAAAAGTTCCAATTATTTTAATTCTCTTACAAATAGTTTAGATACATACCAGAATATAAAGCACTTCAATAATTCTGCCAAAGTCACTACAGAATTGCACGAAAATTAGATGATGTTTATCAGAAAGTCCTTTGTGAAAGGGAGAAGAACCTGCCTTAAGGTGACATGACTAAATGACACGTAAGTAAGTCTCTTGCCTTCTGAAGTTGCAGCTGAATAACAAGTAAAACAAGTTTTCAGCGTAGAGCTGGATCAGGTTTTCTTTGTCAGCTAATTAAAGAAATGGGAGCTGTGCTGTGAACCTCAGACTGCCTCTTTGAACCGCTGTGCTGCTCAATTAAGCAGTAGCTCACTGCTTAATTACTTACAACGCAAGTATGGGAGAGTGTGCTGGGGCTGGAATCAGTCGGAGTCACCTGCATTTCTTAGATTTAGAATCATAGAGTGGTTACGGTTGGTGAGATGCCCGTCTCTCCTCGCTTTTATACAAGTAAAGCTGGAGAGGGACTTTTTCCAAGGGCATGTAGTGATAGGACACGGGGCAATGGCTTTAAACTGAAAGAGGGCAGATTTAGATTGGATATAAGGAAGAAATTCTTCACTCTGAGGGTGGTGAGGCACTGGAACAGGTTGCCCAGAGAAGCTGTAGATGCCCCATCCCTGGAAGTGTTCAAGGCCAGGTTGGATGAGGCTTTGGGCAACCTGGTGTAGTGGAGGGTGTCCCTGCCCATGGCAGGGGGGTTGGGACTGGATGATCTTTGGAGGTCCCTGCCAACCCGAACCATTCTGTGATTCTATGAAAGGCATCACCCCAAACGGAGGGTGACACAGTGATTGCTTTTGCGGTCTACCAGTTATGAGAAGATTCTTGGAAGATCCAGAGCTGTAAGGAGAGGAATGACATCAGTGTCTTCACCATCTCTAAACTCTTTTTTTGTTGCTGGTTAGTGGGTGGAAGGTGGGACAGCCCACCCTTGGCATGCTGAGAAGGTTCGTTATTGCAGGACACGTAGGAGACCTTGCAGCCCT